GCAAAATAATAAGCGTTTTTCCATGCTTAAAACCATAAATCAGCTATAAATCCTACGTTTTTCCATGCTTAAAACCATAAATCAGCTATAAATCCTATATTGTATATAAATTTCCCTTGCAATGAGAATACTGTCAATTTGTAAAGAAATTACGCGTCTAATTATAAATTTCTTTACACATTCCTTAAAAAAGATGAAGAATGCTGCCAGAGGTCAGAGTTAATCGGTCTGTCTGTTAGCAGTCAACTTCTACAATACGTCCTTCGTATTCTTCCGTAATCCTACCTTTATTTCAGTTCGTTATAATAATTGATATTATTTTGCACATCGTTTTATTATCTGGGCAGAAATAAAATCTACAACTAGCTGTATTTGCCAAGACTATGCAAGACATTTCGACTATGCAAGTCAAAATTCTTTCAAAAAAAATTTTTTTTTTCTTTTTTCTGAATTAACAAAACTTTTCACAAGCCTGTCTGACAAGTCAGTTATACACCATATACACAGATGCGCCGACGTGTACTGATAAAGTGCGTCTATAAAGTGTGTGTAAGTGAGTCGAATGATCTCTGGAATACCGTCACATTCCATCACCTTCCAAAGCACTGCTCAATTGAATGGAAAGCAGTTCCAAAATCGATGAAATATGTGATGGCAAGTTGCAGATATTTGATGTGATGTTTCAACACCTTTAACGTGAATATCTGGTGAACACAGCCGCATCACATCTGAATTAGTTTGATTAAAGCCGCAGTAGGAGGAGAGCGAAAATTTCCCCAGATGTCTGATAGGCTGATTCTTCCATAATTGCCACAGTATATCTTGTCATTTTTCATAGGAATTGGGAATAGAATTGTTTGCTACAGACATCTGATATTACTTCTTTCTTCACACAGGAGAGTACATTTGTTGAAGATGTGCTATGAAGTGGGAAGGGTATTTAAGATTCTGTTTATTCGTCTTTACTAGTCTCATTTTCTCCAGGAGTTTTATAATTATAAAAATTCATTTTTTTGATATTATTGTTAATTTTGATATTATTGAAAATTTATATATATAAATTTATAAATTTATTTATATTTAATTCAGAATAAGAAAGAAAGGAAACAGAAAATAATACAAGACTTCAAGGAAATATAGCTTTCATAAAATTATTTATTTATAAGTGAAAGGCGCTCACCATTTATGGTTAGGCTACCTTAACTAGCTGCTAGCTTGGCTAGAAAGTTTGGTTCGGCGACAATGTTTAGAAGATTTATCAGCACTATCCAGATTTTTTAACAACTTTAACTTGGCTCGGTCCTGTGAGGAGGAGTAAATTAATATTACAATCTGAACCACGATCTCCTCAGTTATCTTTTAACTCATCATATTTTTATATTTTACTTATAGCTTAAGCTTATTCATTTTTTTTTGCTATCAGCCCTCTTCATCTCTGATTAGGCTAATTCTGCTGACTTTTTCGACCAGACAAATTTTGCACTCAGTGATAAGACAGGTGAGTCAGCACCAGAGATCCGAATTTTTGAAAAATAAGCTTATTCCTGTCGAGAATCGATGCTCTGAAATGACAGCAATAACCGCTGAGCCATTCTACTCATTCACTAACTTTAAATAATCGTTAAATTAGATATTGAATTCTTATAATTTTTAGATATAAGTAAAACTGTGGATTAAATAGAAATTGCCAACTTTGTGCGACAAATGTATTGTTTGTACATATCGATAGGTAGTTCTTTAAAATTGCTACAGCTGGCAGTGTCCAAATATAACTTAGTGTAGGGTGACCATATACTGGTTCGTTTCTGCGACAACTATTATGTAAATTTCCTTAACGTAAAAATTTAATAAAGCTATGTAACTCACTTTTTTTAAGAGAAAAAAATATTTAAAAATAAAATATAAAATATAGCTGGGTGATGCTGGTGAGTTTTTAGATCATATTGCACATTCTGCATATCTGAATAACAATTTCACAATTTTTTGAGATCATATCTCAGATTTTGAGATCATTATTTTTTTTTGAGAGTCACCGTTACTGGTTCGCTCCGCTCCGCTGGCTTGTCACGTTGGACAAATATGCCTGGACCCCTGGTCGATAGAAGTAAATGTGAGTCGCCAACATCATTCGGATTTTTATTATCATAGTTCATAATCATTCATAATTCATAATTCTGCAGAAATTTGCCGGCACCACTTGAAATTTTTAAATTTTTGAAAGTTGAAATTGGCAGATTTGCTCCTTCATAAACATTTGCTAAACATTTGCTACTCCACATGAGGAATTGGAAAACGAGAAATCTGCATAACAGTGGAAAAAATGAACCACTGAGAACTCCAAGGGAATTATCACATAACTAATTTGCAGTAAATACGAATGGCAGCAAACGCATTAATCAAAAAAAGACCGAGTGGTGCAGGTGATCCATTCGCAATGCCAAGTGACTTTACAAAATTCATATTTTTCAAAGTTAATTAAAACCGATATCGGTCACTATGAATAACAATATAAACGATAACACAACGGTGGCTCATAGAAAATGAATACCGCATCTAAGCTAAAAGCAAAGAGGTGAATGCCATTCCAGGTTAGGATCGCTTCACTAGCTGATAGTAATAAAAGAATTTTTTCAAAGAACAGCTGGAGGAAAAAAATGAGGCGGGTTGTAGCTTTGTAGCCACTTTGACACTTTGACAGGTTCACTAATTCTAACGGAAACAAAGGCCGAACCATAATGCGAAAGTCTAAGTACCAATCAGCCAACTATTCTGTTTACTACTAAAGAGTTAGGGCAGAGTGGTACTTTGGAGGTTGAAAGGATTACTTCCTTTCATCTCTGAAATACCTATCGCCTCATTATTTTCTCAGCTACTTCTTCTGTCACCTTATCAATTCGTTTACGAATGTTTAGAACGATTTGAAGAACTGCCTTAATGCGTTGACTACACAAAATCTCAACATCCATCGCCATCGCCAGTTAAATCTGCGCTTATCACATATCTTTCTCAACACATTTGACCCTATACTAAAAGTCGTAACGGTTTTTCATCTTTTATTGATTTTCTTAAAATAGTGATTGTTGGAAGATTTTTCCAGTTTGTGGAAGTGTGGTACTTGTGGGATAATGGATGCTGTGGATCTTCTTTTTCTTCTAACTCCATTTAACTTTGGCTTTGGTTTTTCGGGTGAAATCTCTTTGACTAAGATTCATTTTATATGAGAAGAAGAGTAGTAGTAGTAGTTCAACCAGTCATTAGCTGGGTTTCACATTTAATATCAGGTTTATTCGTGAAGTCGAATTCGTGGTGCTGTTAAGAATCCTTAGCGAAAGAATTCTATCGCTATGCCATCCAGTACCAAAGTGTGATGGCACATTTTTTATTAATTGGTAAAGGGGTCGATCCCTTTTGAACAGAACTTGAAACATTGAATCATGTCGAAACATTGGAAATAGCCTTGAAACTCCATAGACTCCCTTTATTCTCTTAACACCGTTCTGAGCGTGCTTGGTTTTTTGGTTTTTATATACATGGCAAATCCCCATTCCTTCTCCTAGGCTCTCCGTCAGTCATGCCACTTTTACAATTTTTTAATTAACAAGCATCAAGCAACACAAGCTGCCTAGCATCCTTCACATCACATCTTTAAAGGTTGTGCTCGCTAGTATGGCTGCAGGACCAAATATTACGTGATGGAATAAGGAAGTTCTACTCGATACTCCTAAGGAGGATAGTTTGACATGATAGCTATCGGGGAATTAGATATTTTCTAGATTCGTCTTTCTTCTCCTAAAAAGCATTCATAACAGCAGGACTTACCCTAGCCAAGTCGGATTTAGGCCAGCGCATCATAGCTAGGTGCGAACTTTCGCCGGGATGACTTTGCGGCGATTTCAGTAATTAGCCATCTAAATTGGAATTTCACGGTTTCCATGGCCATCCGAGTGAATCCGAGATATTTAAGTCTAACACTTCTTAAAATGTTGATGAATTTATAGAAATTATGACCTGAAATTATGACTAGGCGCACAGCCTTAGTACTTCGTTGCTAATTCTTGTTTGAGATAAGCCCTACACCCACCAAAGGGACAGAGTTATGATTACATCACTTTCACTCGAATACCAATTGCATTAAGAATTATTAGGCCAGTATAAAAAATGACGCACATCTCGCTACTTATCGAACTATCGTCAAAAGGGAGGAGGGTCATTCAAGGCTTGGGCTAACATTGTGGTGAGGGAAGGTTTTGAACGCAGTCCAGACGGCGCAGTTGTGGAAAAGAAGTGGCTTCAGTTACTTTTAGAAATGGCATAAGGAAACTTGATTTTTATCTTAGTCAGAAGTGGAACAAACCGGCAGTGGTGCGGGTTGCTGAAAAAAAAAACAAGTTAGATTCGTTTTAAGAGGCTAAGTTGGGTCTCAGGGATTTTAATTGATTCACTTTAAATATATGTTTTGATAGTCTTTCAAATTCTTCAAAGTTTCTTTACGTTTTTGTTTTGTTTTATTTCATCGCCATTTTTTATATTATTTTTTCAGCTGTAAATGCTAATCCAGAAATATATAATTTGAAGCAGTAAGCAAAATGTTTGTGAATGTTTTATGAAAATGATTTATGAAAATGATCCACATTTCAGTTCCCAGCACTCAGACACTTGTAGATACAGATGGATTACGTAAATATATTGTTAGTTTTTTTTTTTTCTCGAATACCTTTCGTTTAAATAACGAAAAGTTCCATATTCGTTGGTAAACTTAAAATAAACTTAAGATACATAAATGAAAAAAAAAATTTAAAATTGTAGTAGACGAATAAAATACGATTTATTTTTGAGGAAATTAAGGCGATGATGAAATAATCGAGTTATTTTTATTTTGTTGAGACAAAAAATAATTAGACGAAATCAAATAATAATAATAATATTATAATCGATTAAACAAGCCTCGACCGAGAATTACAAACCGAGTAACTTCAGCCTATAAAGAGATGTTATTCATGATGGAAAAAGCCAACAAGAACAAAATAAAATACACTTATGAACAACCAAACCAAGTGGATATCCTTGATTATACTCCCTAAACCTAAGATATTCTTTCAGTCGGGAGTGTCGGAAAAATCGAATAAGCATTTTTCCATGCCTAAAATCGTAAATAAGCTTATATCCGATATCCGATATTTTTGAATGCAAATTTCCTTTGTGAATACTGTTAATTAATAAGGAAATCATACGTCTAAATCTCTTTCTTTCCTTTAAAAAACATTTCTTATAAACAGCAAGAAGGAATGCGACCAAATGCCAGAGTATTTATTTGGTCGGTTTTGTTTTTTATTAGTGTTCGGATTGGATCGGTTTTTATCGGTCGTTTATTCTCTCAGTCTACAGTACCTTCATATTCAATTGTGATCATACACATATAAGCGTAATCCTATATTTGAATTCGTAATGTAATTGATATTATTTTGCACTTCGTTCTGTTATATTGGTATTTGGCAGTAATAAAATCTATAATTAGTTGTATATTTCAACGCAAATTCGTGAAACTGTCGACGCAAGGCACTTCATTCAGAAACTTATTTCTTGTTTCTTCTTTCTGAATTAATAGAATTTTTCACGACATCATCTATTTCTAACCAACCAAAAGTATTTCCTTTTTGTCGACTCATAGAATGATATTGTTATTTTAAAAAATAAGTTGGCATGAATAAATTTGTTTTTATTCGAATTTAATTAATATTTTTTCAGGCGTATGACATTCACGTAAATGGCTCATATCATGCAAGTATTCGTTATTCAGAATTATTATTGCTTCATGAAAGACTGCGAACAAAATTTCAGTCGAATCTAAGATCTGTAGATTTTCCACCAAAGAAATTCTTCAAAAATTTGGATGAAAAAGCTGTAAAAGAGAGAAGGATTGGACTTGCACTATATTTTCAAAATGGTACGTAATTTTATACAACGTTTAAATATATATATATATAGCAACTTTTATCATTTAGCAAGAGTACCAACCGTCTTTATTCGACTGACTTCACTTAATCTCTCACGAGAGGGAGAGTAGAAGTGCAGATGGGTCCTTAGCACCGACGAGATAACAAGATAAATAATTAATTAGCGCTTATCATTTCTCGATAGATTAGCTCATCTGACCGGTAGAAAAGTTATAAATTTTTGGTCATAACAAATGGATCACCAAATTTTTTAATGGTAATTTTTTACTCTTGTCAATGAGTCATTGTCAATAAAGTATTCTGAATTAATATCCACTGAGTTTCCCACCCACATATAATATCTTCATTCTCCCAAAGTGCATTGGTACATCATTCATTGGCAAATCATAAATCTTTTCATTTGCTTTCTTTAAAATCATTCTATAATAATGTTTTTTGGATCTATTATTCCTCTTTTTCTTTTCTTTTATTCTTTTATTCTTTTTGAATTTATAGTAATGCAATACCAAAAGATAGCTAGCGATGAAATCATGATCCAAAGTTTTCTCAGATTTCAAGTGGTAATATTTGTTTCTTATTCTGTATTATCGGCTATGCATAATAGTTTAGTAAAGTTTAGATTTATTTTTTGAAAATTTTAGAAAATTTAGTTTTTATATTGAAAATATGCTTAATTTCATATTAGCATATTATATCAATATTGCAGGACTCATTTCGTCCATCATCCAATAAAGTATCGCTGGATATATATTTGGCAGATGGTTCAAAAGAATCAATTCGTTGCGGTGCCGATAACTCTACTGAAGTTGTTTTAAAAGTTTGTTTCTTTACAATTAATTCATTTGAAGCTTTAAAGTTGTCAGCTCCGAGGCTTATAATTGATTCTTAGGCTTTTTAATACAACTTTTGAAATTTAAATAACTTAAATTTTTTGTTTTCATGTCTTATTTTGTTATTTTTTCTTATTTTTTAAATTTTGCTTGATTGGAGGAATTTAATGGTTAAATGCCCTCTTAGATTTATTCATTTCTTGAATATATTTATTCATCGAATTTTATTTTTGTTGGGAAAAATTAATTGTTCGCGATAAGCTGTTTTAGCTTTTCGCTAATATAATTGGATTGGGTTTGGAGCATTTAGATAAATTTGGCTTATTTATCGTCAAAAATCGGTTGACTGGATCAGAAAATCAAATTCTTTCATCAAATGGAAAGGGTCCAGATGTTCTTTGTAAGTTTTAAGTATTATGGCTTAAAATGGCTTTTATTTATTATTAATTTTCATTAATGTATGAAATATATTTGTATATGTAAAAAATTATTGTATGAAATAATATTAATTAAGTATTATATTAATTTTTATCCTTTTTTTTAAATTCATTAATTTTTTAATATGTTTAATTTATGTATTAATGAAGGTGTTCGATTGCTCGGAAACCATGAATCTCCTTATATTTCATTACATCTTTTGAATCAGAAATCAGCGTCGTCTGGAATATTTTACTATATTATGGTTAGGAAGATCATGTGGCATAAAATGATTGAGGAACAACTATTAGATGATCCGGGAGCTGTCATTCTTCTTTACAAGCAGGTTCCTTTTTGGTTTTTCTTGTTGGTTTTGAACTATAGTAACACAACATTTTCTCAAGAATTGGTTGTTTTTTGCTTTCATTTTTCCAAGGATTTAAGGATTTAATTCATTATAAATTTATTCTATAATAATCGTGAAAAATGTCTAGGTTTGAACTTAGATGAAAAAAATTTTTAATTCCTGGAAACTTACTAGATTTATATTTTAGATAGTTAATGATTTTTGTTACGGTCGTTTGAGTTCGATGGGTCCTTTTGTTTCTTCTATTCCTGTAAATATTCACGAGAAGTTTGCTAATCTGGTTAAGCAGGCTCAATATTTGCCAGTAATATTTACTGTATAATTCTAAAATTGTTTGTTTTTAATTCAGGTTTTATAGTTTTGATCATGTTCTCTTGTTTATTCTTCGTTTGTTTCTGTAATTTTGTAAAATGGTTATATACATTCATTTTGGTTCAAAAGTCTATGTACTAAAATGCATTCATAACCTGTCTGTCGATCTCTATGAGAAAGTTGGTCAAAACAGTCCGCTCTTCACACGTCTTCAAAATCCTCTAAAACTTTGTTAGATTTTTTCTCATTGTTCCTTGAAATCATGATGTTCTTCCTACATGACGAGGCGGCTTAGTTGATATAATTGTTAAATTAAATTCTCTCTGTACTTTCATTTTGAGATCGAGGCTGCTTTATTTTTCAAGATTTTTCTTGTTTAATTTTTTAAACTTTTAATTTTTTTTTAATTTTTTCTCCTAACTTTTTAGAGTAGATTGTAGCAACAAACATTTTAAGGATTATCATAAGGACTTTAAAGATAATTCCTTATATTTGCAAAAATATTCCCAATGTCGAAATAATCCCAAATTCTTTTTTTAACACTATCACTGGTTAAATTGGCTGCATTGACTACAAGATTAAGGGATCTCCAGATCTCCAGATCCAGATTCGCTTGAGATTAATAACGCTTATATCACACCAGATCTTAGTTCTACTCGCTAAATAGAAGAATAATGAAGTGTTATACTTTTGTTAATATTATTATTAATAAAGAGAAAATAAATCAACAAAAAAAACGAAAAAAAATTGGTCCTTATTAAATAATCGGGCCAAATAAGTAACCACAAATATTTAAAAATATTTCAAAAAATATACTTTTAGTAATTATTATAATAAACTGCTAATTTCAACGTTTCTTCTTGCATCTTGTTATGTTTTATAGCGTTATTATACATTTTTAACACTACTAAGTCTTTTTTTCTTTAATCTGCCTTTGCCTCAAATTACAACTCCATATCCCTAACATGACCCAATTCTGTTGTCCCTTTATTCCTTATCAATGTTTTTATCAGCCTTAATTAGAAATTGTAAAATCGCAATGGGGAATGCGATGGTGATTGGAGACATTGAGGAAATGTGATGGAAATTGGAAAGTGTTAGGAGAGAGAATGAAAAAGGTAGAAACTCCACAGTAGGATCTGAACGGCTTTGACATATTAATGGAGTATGTCGTCGTTGATTTTGTTGGTTTTTTTGAGTTGAGATTTTGTTGACATCAATACTGCATTCATTTCTAAATCTTATGATGAATATTATTATAATTTGATATAATTTGTTAAGCTATTTTTTTGTTTTTTTAAGAATCAGCTTTTCTTTTCAGAAAAAACTTTAGTTCTTAAGTTTTGTTAATTTTTCAGTTGCTGCGCCTTTGTTACGAAAATTCTTTGGGCAGTTTTGAACTTTTAGAAAGTTGTATAACTGATTATCCACAACCAAATACCAACTGCAACGTCAAAATTGGATTTCGAAGTATCATTCTTCAGCCAACAGAAAAAGGAAAGGGTGTAAGGCTTAATTACAAATTCTGTGCTATAACTTTTTTTTAAAGAATTCTCCACTATTGAAACTCGCTCCGCTGGCTTGTCTCATTGGACAAATATATCAGAGAGTCCTTTAGTGTTAGAAATACAGGTGAGTATCACCCGGCTATGCTATAAATAATTTCTCTTTAATTCTTGTGATTTTTTTATTTTTTTCTTTTTTTTTTGATCTCTTTTGATCTCTTCTTTAGATTATAAATTCCAGATGATTATAAAAGATTATGTATTTCGGGTAACGAGAATCCGTATGTGGCGTCTTTTGCATGACTCGAAGTCTTGTGATGGTTTTTCTTTGCAGTTTGAATACTTTATATCCAAAAACAATTTTTTATGGATTAATGTCTTGACTAAACAGGTTTTCTTATTTTTCGTTCTGATTCTATTTTTTAAATGTTTTTGCAAGACTCTTTAATTAACATTCCTTTTGTAAAAGTGAAAGATAAATATTCATAGTCATGGGTAAATGGGGGCATAGAATAGCTCAGTGGGTTGCTCAATTTAGAGGGTCTAGTGCAGTAAACCAATGAAACGAATCTAACCAGTAATGGTGAGGACTCTTTAAAAAAATACCTGAATGAATTGTTATCATTTCGGTGCGTTGGTGCTGGTATTCTCGGCCGAAATACATATGTCTTTCAAAAATCTGAATGATGCTGGCTATTTATCTATGTCATATGACCTCGTGATAAGTTCATCTGGTCCAATAAGCTAGCAAAGCGATCCTTTTGAGCACTCTTGGAAAAGAAAAACCATTCAAACTGGGAACAATGTAGGAAAAGTTAATTCGGAGTGGAACTTTTTATTTAGTTTTTCCTTTATTTTAGGCAATTTTATTAACACGTATTTTACAAACCATCGGATTTGAAATTTTGAAAGAAAGCGAAAGAAAGGTTTGTTTTGTTTTTTAATATTTAGGAGCTATTCCAATTTTTAAAATAATTTAAATAGCTGAATGAATGTATCAATATAATTTTATTTAATAATGGACATTTAGTAAAGAATATATCGTATAAATAGTGAGTATTTCGATGTAATATGATTTTTAATTTAATGTTTCAATTTTAATTTTGCAATTCTTTTTTAGATCTTTTGTTGGAAAATTAATTGCACTTCTATTAAATTAAGTTATATACATTTATTTTGACTGAATTTTATTTTTTGTTTTAATTTTTAGAAAAAAGATTATGCGGATAGCGAAGTTCATAATGGATGTGGACAGCATTCTATTTCCGCCGTTAATTCTGTTCAAGATGTCATATTACATGTTACTGCATCCCCTATTCATAATGATTTGTCAGATGCTTTTTCTGAAAAAAGTTTATCAATGATAAGTGATCTTGAACTGTTTTCTGGCACCACCGATGAAGACCATGAGGTTCTCACAGGCAAGGACATCGTTGCAAATGGAATTCTAACAACAGCTGTTATAAAGGAACCATCTGAAAAAAGAATTAATCCATGTGAAAATATTTTTGTTACTATATCTGTTAGTTTTAAATTATGGATCAGAGAAATGAGAACTATTTAAATCCAACCCTAACCCTAAACCCTAAAACTGCATTCGCAACTGCATTTATTTATGTTTTAATAGTTTTAATAGATATTTACCTAAGAATATGTAGTTTTTGAGACTTTTCGACGAGATAAGGTTTACATCAAAAAATTTTGAAAAATTTTTTCAGGATCTACTTCCATCTGTTAATGATACTTTTGAAATTACAGATGATGATTTATAACTTAATGGCTCGCTTTATTTGCTAATCTTTGGTAATTTTTTTTTGATTTCACTTCATTTTATTTTTTAAAAAAACAAGCAGAGGAACGGAAGATATTTGCTTTTATTTGCTTTTATTTATTTTATTAGAAACAATGAATAGTAGAATGCAATAGTTTTATTTTAATTATAAAAAAAATTTTTTGGAATTGAAATCATAAATGAATAAAGAAAATTCTCATCAATTCATGAACAATTTCGTTTGATTTTCATTTAGAATCGCGCATAAATAGTGGAAGTACCATTTAATTAATAGTACAAGCCGAAGTTAGGATCACAGGTTAGTCCTGCCTACATATAGAAAGTATTTAATTTCAATACAATGAAGCTATAATATATTTGTTGTAGCAAAGTTAACTTTGTAAGTAAAAATCGGTTCTTTTTTAGTTTCTCTTATTCTTAAAGAATCTAAATTTCAGATCAATGGATCAAAGAAAATTCACCAGGATTGATTTAATGGAATTCTGAAAACCCTCTGTTAATCGTTTTGATTTTATCGCTTTGCCACATATGAGCACTAGTAAAATTATTTTTGATTATTTTTCTTATTATTGTCTGTTATTTTTCAAATGAAACTTTTTTTTAAATCCTAAAGCTTATTCCATTTAATCCATCAGTCCATTTCGAATCTTAATCTCTTTATTTGATGTTAATGATAATCATATCAGTTTTCATTTTCACTGTTTTATTTGTTTTTTTTCACATCTTTATCATTTTTAGCATATTTTATTCTCCATTTTCAATAGTACTATATTTCAAGAGGAGATAAAAATTGCAAAATTATACAATCTTTGCCAAAATTGCCCTTCATTATTCATTATTTTTCAAAGCATAATGCCTAGGAAAAATTTTGTAATGAAGATATTTAAGATAGCTATGCGACTATTTTTCTTGGGTTCATATGACGGTTTTATGGAGCTTTTTGGGAACTTATTGTATATTTTCATAGATATATTTATTCATAGATATATATAATTTTGTTCTATGCAGCTTTTAAATTTTTTCTATTGCTTTCAGCCTTTTTTTGCATTGCTTTGCTTAATTTTTCACTTATTTTTTTCTTTTTTATAAATTCAAGAAAGAAGGAAGCCGTTTTAAAAAATAGTGTGAAAGATTCGAAAAGAAAAATAGTGGTTACTTAAAATATGAAAAAAACTGTATTTAATCGAAGACTTCTTTCTGTTTTCTTCTTTCTGTTTCTTCTTTCTGTTATTTTACTGTCGCTGAAATATAAAAATTTTTATTTCATACTGAATTGGTTATATTTCAGTTTACACATTGCTATATTTCCAATTTCCGAAGTATTTTCGCCATTTTATATTTCGAATATGAAAATATCCTTTCTTCATTACTATATATTCCATTTGTTTCACATTCTTTTGATGCTCAATTTTTCTTAAATGCGGACATAATTTATTGAATTTAAAATTCTCGCGTGCCTCAGTATTTTTTTTGTTGAATAAGTCTGTGTGCCTTTGCTTTCCAATATTTTTGTAATTTCGTCATAAAACTTTGTTCATTATTTTACAAAACCTTTACTTATTGCAGGTTTTTATTTTATTTATTTTTTATTTTTCCTTTCGTTTTCTTTAAAATTGTGGAAAAATAACGAAATATTTTATGATAAATGTCACTTTTAACACTAAAATCGTGGAAATATTAAAATTCGAATGCACTTCGGGCATGAACGGCACTGACAGGAAACCGTGTTTTTATATGCCATTTTTCAGGCTCATCTTTCTTTTTTCTTCATGTTTAATTTTTCCTTCAGCAGGTTCATTTCCATATTCCGTTGTGCCTCCGTAGTATCGCTCCGGCAATAAGTTAATTGATTCGCCCCCATCTATAATATATTTTCTGTCTGCTTTCTAGCTGGACGAATGAGGCTAATTTATGTCCAGCTAATCGAATAATCAGCCAACTGAAAGTACCCTTTTGTTATAATATTCTCTTAATGTAAAATTTTAAATTTTATAAAAAATTTTATAGCTTCGGGTCTCGCTGTACCATCTGAACGCCTCAAACATTCCATTAATAGCTCAAAGTCAAACATTTCTATTGCAGCCCATTAATACTTCTCTAAAGTTCCTTGGATGAACTTCGCTACAGATCCATCCACTCCTCCATCACACGTTGGTGTGAGGAAGGGTAAATTTGGTTAGAATGAATGCTAGAAGGACAGAAGGGGAGATTTAAGAGAGTGAGGGTTGGTCGTTTAATGTGGCACGAATATTTTGCATAAGACTGGCCTTCTATTTAAAATCACATATGTCTCGAAATTTGTCAAAATGTTCTTTCGTTTGCGCCCTTACACTGCTTGACATTTCCATTTTGCATATCTCATATACCTATCCAAACAAATCGATCCAGTCACTCTCAAGCATACTCAAGCATTTTTCACACCCCAAGACACCTTCTTATGCTTACTAATATCCCCAACTGACAACAGCCTAGGCCGACATCGCAAAAATAAACCAGGAAATTTTGCATTTTTGAAGGCAAGCAACATTTCGAATTGGGAATCCGCAGTTGCGCCGAATTTTAGTGGTGGCAGTTAGCAGTGGCTGAAAATTAGTTATTGTTAGTTATAAAATTAGGGCGAGGAAGATGGAGGCAATTAGAGAGTTTTGGTGGTATTTTGTGAAAAGGCTGATTGTCTGCCGGAGTGATTGAGTTTTGCGTTATGGCTCTCTTATTAGCTTTATTGGATAATTTGCGTGTAATTAACTTTAGAAATTAATTTTATTGGCCATCTTAAAATTAGAACCGATATTTTTATTACTTCACAAATGTTTCTTATAATTTTTTAATTCGGAATACTTGGCTGTTATCTATTTGAATTTTGAAAAATCCCAATAACTTTTTTGAATGACTGAATAGAATTTTTATTACCTCGTTTATTTAAAATTTTTAAACATTTTTATTGGTTTGAAATTTGGTGTAACTTGTTTATAATTATTTAGAATAATTTGTTTTAAAACCGTTTTTATTCGATTTTTGCACAATTTTTTTAATGTTCTAATTTAGTTTCAATGCTACGACATGCACATTTATTTACATTTTATTTATTCCTTAATTGAGCGTCATATTGCTTTGGTTAAAGATAGCTTAAAGTCATATTATCGATTATTTCTTAAATTGCGACATTTATTCACTTTGAATACTATGACTTTTAGTAAAAATAAAAGAACATTGATAAAAATAATAACAAAAATAACTTTCAAGTAATATCTAATGTTTTCGAATTAACATGCGAGCTTTATTCAATGTGATTTAATAGTTTCTGTGGATGAAAGTAAGCTTCATTGATTGAAGCCATCGTTTCTGATGTTATCGTTTTTGTTATTCTTGTTTTAAGAGCAAATAATTTTTTAAAGGCGATGGCGACAGAGATGCAAGAATTTCGTTATTTGATTTCGCATATGTTGAGTCCCGAGAACGATGCAAGAAATGAAGCTGAAAAGCGATATGATCAGATACCAAAAGCAACACAAGGCAGATTATTGTTCGAACTGTTCTTGGACAATTCTGCAGAATTCGAAGTATTTTCTCTTTTAACGCGAAAGCTTTAAATATTAGTCAGTTTCACATTTTATTACTTCATTTAAATGATGAAAAATGCGAAATCGGTTGAAAGATTAAAAATGGCTTTTTTTTTAAAATTATTTAAAATTTTAATATTCATAAAGGAAATCGCAGTGGTTTTATTCTATTATAATTACAATTTTCTACAAAAAAAAAGAATAGATTTGCAATATGTAATTTCATGCAATTAAATTTATGGTTTTTATCTAAGTAGAATTTTTGATTTTTTTTCATAAATATGATGAAAACGTTTTTTCCATCGAAAATTTTAAAAAGAGGCTAATTTTATGATTTGTCTTAGTGAGTTTTCGCTTAAACAGAATATTTTAGATAAGTAAAGAATAATGAATAAATAAAATGAATCCAACAATCGAAGGAAGCAAAAAACCGTGATAAAAATATTATTACGTAATGTAATGTAATAAAACATTAATATTTCATATTTTCAGATGCGTTCTATGTGTTTAATTTTATTAAGACGGTTACTGTCGAAAGATTGGGATGAAGTTTGGCCGATATGGGGAGAAGAGAATCAAAAAGGTTTTTGTGAGCAGTTGTTGAAATTGGCCACTGAGGAAACGCATTCTGTTCTACGCAAACGTTTATGTGATGTAATTGCCGAAGTTGCTCGGGCATCCATTGGTATATTATACTTTTCTTTCTTTGTGTATGGTATTTTTTATTTGTCATTTTTTCACTTCAGATAATGAAAGTGGACGTCAAAAATGGCAGGGCGTGTTGCGATTTCTTGAAATTTGCACAACGTCAAGTAGTGCCACTTTGCAAGAAACCGGCATGATGCTCATTGAGTTAGTATTTTTTGTAAATTTTTTTATTTTTATTTTATTTATTTTATTGTAATTTATTTTTTGTAATTTTTTTTAAAATTTTTCTTTTGGTTTTTTATTTACGATTCTGTTATTGAATTTTTTTTATCTAATTTCCATACTTTTATTTCGAATTGTCAAAATATATTTTATTATCAGGTCGTTTATTTATGCCCTAAGTTGAATTCATCTTTGAATAGAAATTAGAAAATATTTTATACGCAAGATGAGAGTTGAATGAAAATTTTTGTTTTTGTTGTTTCGACCATAAATACAATAAATAATATTCATGGTTATCCTATTGGACTCAATTTCCTTGCATTGTAGAAAATGCCAGCTATACGTAATTGCGTAAACTTTTGTTCTTCATGATTTGGTGATTTTTTATTTTTAAGGATGGGGATAGTTGATTATTCAACAGTTATTATTGGTGGTATTTCCATTCCGTTGTTTTTACAACTTCCTATTGGGGTTTTTTTTAAATCCTTTAAAAATTTTATTAATATTAATAGGATTAGTCAAGCGATTTTTTCTCTGTGAAAATCAGGCATATTTCAGAAATGAACCTTCTGTATTTGGCTGTGATCGTAACCATTATATTACTGGAATCAAACAAATGTTTCAAACTTCCCTATTATATGAAAGTGAGAGTTCTGTTAGAACAGCGGCAGTTCGAGCGTATGTTGCTTTTCTTACTGAAAACGAAGACGACGACAGATTAATTAAATCGTTATCTGATCAAATCCCTGCTGTTATAAAGGTCAACTATTTCATTTTATATGTTTATATCTATGAATTTTATATATTTCTTATTTTAGGTCTGTAGCCATGTCGTAGAAGCTGAAACTGATGACGATGTTCCTTTACAATGTTTAGGAGATTTAGCTAGCAACGTGCCGAGAGTAATACAACCATATATTATAGATATATTCAATCTTTGTTGTGCAGTAAGTTTTACCTCCAACATTAATATCGTTGAAGTAATCCACTAATCAACACCGCGATAGTTCTTGTTTATTATTCATAAAAATGATTTAATTCTATCCTCTGCTGGCTATTTGCTTGAGATTTTAGACAGTTGCAAACAAGGAAAAGGATGATTCATACCGACATAGCGCACTTGAAGTCATGGTTTCTGTATGTGAGAGTGCACCAACTATGGTAAAAAAGCGGGCATCTTCCTTTATTCCGACATTGCGTTCGTTTGTTTTTTCTGCATCTTTTGCACATTGTATAATTCGCAAAATAGAAATAGAATAGTTTGGTGCATTGTCATTTGGGAGCGCGAATTTTGGACTTCATGAGTAAACTTGCTGTTCAGAAATTCGGCAATACTGATGATCCAATTTCTATAGCCTCAAGTGATTCTGTGATAAAATTAAACTAAAAAATAAGTGACTCTGATCTTACAAGCCAGTCTAACTAGAAATGGTGAATGCTGTTTACTTTCATAATACTCAAAATATATTTGAACGATATATATCATAACATAAACATTGCTAGTTACGCTCGCCAACTTTGGAATAAATTTTGTAAGGGAATCACTTGGCTATATATGGGTAAATCGTATATTTCATCCTATTTTTGAAGGGTATTTTATTCCTATTAGGTGTAGATATCAGCGATTCAGCGATTCGAACTGAGCAATAAATCACTAGTCATTCAGTCATCTCCTTTATTTTTGCCGGCGATATTGCAGTCCGATCCGACGAAGCATGGTGCGTTGACCGGATTTGAATTTAAGCTGTTATTGATTTTCATTGGTAACCATCATGTCACTAAACCATTGATAACTAACATAACTGACTAAAACTGAATTAAAATGAATGGAAATAATCGTATTTTTATCACATATTTTTTATGCATAATTTTTTGTTTCCAGTTGAACTATGTATGGATTTAATGACTCAGTTGGATGATGATGTTACGGAGTGGTTATCAAAAGACAATACAGATGAAGATGATGATGATGATCAGTGCGTAAAATTTTGTTAGAAATTTCTAAGTATATTTCTGTAAAAAGTGTTTCTTAATTTTATTTTGATTCCAGAAATTATGGTTTTGGTGAATCTTCATTAGATCGCATTTCATGTAGTCTTGGTGGAAAAGCAGTTTTGCAACCGTTCTTGGGTATTATATCTCGTCTAATCCATGATGGTAAAGTTCATTTTTTTCTTTTTCATTTTTCCCTCATAAGCCTAATTTTTTTATTGAAATTTTTTTGAGTTTTCGTAATTTTTTATAATTTATAATTTCGTAATAATTTTTTATCAGAGAATAAAATAATTAAAATAAAAGGTTTTAAAACAAATGGATTTAATGATTCAGTTGGATGATGATGTTAAAGAGTGGTTTTCATCACTATTTCTTTAGTTCAACATTTCTTTAACATTTTTTTTAAAGCGGATAACTGGAAAAATCGACATGCTGCAATAATGGGATTGTCCACGGTTGGTGAAGGTTGTAAGCGTCAGATGGAACCAATGATCGTTGATATTGTTGATAATATTCTTCCATTCATAAACGATCCGGTTCATATTTTTCTTACATTTTATAGAACTAATTCCTTCCAATTTTCGGTTTAAAAAAAAAATGTCAATATTTTGTAGCATCCGAGAGTACGATACGCCGTTTGCAACGCTTTGGGTCAAATGTCTTCAGATTTTGAACCAACCTTACAGAAAAAATGTAGTGATAAAGTTAGTCTTTGCAGATATCTCAAATTTTATTGGAAATAAATAAGATAAAAATATAAATATAAAATTAAATATAAATTTTTCATGTTACAGATTGTGGATGGACTATGTTCATTACTCGTAGATCTTTCTTGTCCTAGAGTGTCTGCACATGCTGGTGCTGCTTTGGTTAATTTTAGCGAGGATTGTCCAAAGATAGTTATGGCTGCTCATTTGCGGAAAATTATGGAAAAGCTTGAATTTGTACTGGAACATACGTTCAAGCAAGTTAGTAATTTTTTTAGTTTTATGATGCGATTCGAAATCCAGTTTTACCATATTGCTATTTTGATTTAATGCTTTTATACCTTAGCTTGAATTCTTGAATGTTGAATTTAAGCTGTTGGAACGTGGAAAGAAGTTGGTTCTTGAACAAGTTATAACTACCATTGCTTCCGTAGCTGATGCAGCGGAGGAATATTTTATTACATTTTACGACCGGTATGTTTTTTTTCATTGCTTTACTTTACTTTTACTTTACTTTTGTATACTTTTACTTATCTTTTTTATTTATCTTTATCTTTTTGTTTATTTATTTTATTTATTTATTTTTTTGTTTTTTTAAATTTGATTGGAATTAATAAGTATGATTAATAAGTAGATAATAATTTTTCATTTTTGATTTCTATTATTCGTAATATTAAAATTCATTACTTTATTGTTTACTTTCCAGTATCGCTTTTCACTATTCTTCAAAAAAAATTTATTTTTAAATAGATTATTTTTATATAAATGATAATTAAATTTTTTTCCTTTTTTTTAAAATTCTTGTTATATTGGAGTTAAAATTTTCAGCTTGATGCCTCCTCTTAAATATATTCTTCAAGATGCAAAGTCGGATGAGCTAAAATCATTGAGAGGTAAAACGATTGAATGTATATCACTTATAGGCCTTGCTGTGGGCAAAAATAAAGTTAGTTATTTTAAAATTTCAAGATTATTTATTAAAGAGCTCCTAATAATGCGGTATTCTACGATATTTAATATTCTCGTAGACAGTAATGGTAAATCATCCCTTTTCGCTTTCTTCATTTGTTCTTCATTTCCTAAAATTAGATTTTTTCGGCAGAAGCATTTAGGTTTGAAGTACTAGTTGTTCGTAGTACCACCAGAATTTTCTTCCGTGAAAGCAATAGAGTCGAAATCATAACTCCACATCAATCTAAGAAAATATGGTTGAGCAAGAATTTAGTTGTCAGCTTCTGTTTTGAAAGCAATTTATTTAAAAAAAAGTTCATTCTTCAACTGATTAGAGAGAATTTTTTAAAGTTTACCAAAGATGCGCACGAAATTATGCAAATACTGCTTTCGGACCAATCTCAATTCCAGAATTTGTCATGCGATGATCCTCAAGTATTTTTTACCTTTTCATTTTTTAAAGGGTTCATTTTTGAAAGTGAAATATTTATAAGTGAAATATTTTTTAAATTATCATTCCGATTGTAATATTTTTTTTAGTACCATTTTTTGTTTGTTGCTGATTTGTCAGTTTTTTCGTAGAAGATTGTTGAATTTATTGATATACAGTGATTTTCGAAGAGTGCTGTTGCAGACATCGTATATGATAAGCGCTTGGGCAAGAATTTGTAAAATTCTCGGTGAATCGTTCGCTGAATATTTACCTGTGGTTATGCCATCAGTTTTACATACTGCTTCAATAAAACCAGATGTTGCTTTGATGACAGGTTTTATCATTTATGCAAAAAATCATTAATAAAAAATTGCTAAATCATTAACGATTTTCCATGATTTTTTGATTACAGAAGATGAAGCAACTGTTCAGGAGGATGATCCTGGTTGGAGTTTTGTTCCATTAGGTGATCAAAAGTTGTTTGGTGTTAAAACCGCTGGTTTAGAAGAAAAATCTACTGCCTGCGAGATGTTGGTTTGCTATGCCCGTGAGCTAAAAGGTGCCTTCAATCCCTACGTGGAATCAGTTGTGGATCTGATGCTTCCTCATCTCAAATTTCTTTTTAGTGATGGTTCCTTTTATTTCATTCGTCGGTCTTTTTTTAAAATATTTACTTATTTAAAACTATTTTAAGGAAGAGAGTGGGCGGTGAAATATGTTACTTCGACAAACTCTCATCCTTTGAGAATAAATAAAAGGAATTTGGGTAGCACTAATGGGTCACTCCTTTACTTTTGTTCTGTGGCGAAGAGGCAGTGGGACTAGCCAAATTAAGAGTAAAAACTTGAGAGTACTATTTTAAGAAGCCATATTTAAGCAGAAGATTCTTCTTAAACAAACTTAAACAAACTTCTTAAAGAAACTTTTATTTATTTATTCCTCTTTTACATTTATTCATTTAAGCTAATTTCGGCGTAAATTGGCTTATAATATAATTGAAATCATTCTTTAAAAGTTTTTTTCATAGTAATTTGATTTATATTATTTTATAGAAGTACGTTCCGCTGCTGCAGAAATTTTCCCTCACCTTTTGGCATGTGTGCGAGGTCGCGGTGAAGCCTATCGTTCAGGTCTATGGCGTGCCGTTTTGCCTGCTTATAAAGAAGCAATTGATAGCGAGCATGACCGAGATGTTCTTGCAGATCAGATTGAAGGCATAGCTGAAGTTGGCTTTACAATTTTTATTTTATCTGAGAATAGTCCTGCTTTAATCGCAATAGTCCACCTCGCCACTTTATATTTTTTTTCCATTCTTTGGAGACACCAAGATCCTATATTTTTGGTGCTAATAGCTATAATTTTAGTGTATAACCGAACTTGGAGGGAATATGATCACTAATGATGATGTGAGGCTAATTGTCGATATTTTGCTTCAACAACTTAAAGTTATTGCTGAAAATGTTCATCGTCGAGATAGTAATTATTTTCAAAATTTCGTTAAACTGGTTTCCGAAAAATTTGTTCAATCAAGTCTTATCAGCATTTACTCAGCAAAATTTTTCAAATTCCAACAAGGCTTTGTACCATACTTTCATTTGAAATTATAAAAAATAAAATATAGAAGATATAAAAGATAATTTATAATTTATTTCATCTATCATTTCATATCACTTCATTACATTTGTGGCTTGAAAAAAATTTTCATTAAGCGGGTGAAAAAGAAGATGAAGATGATGCTGGTGAAACTGATAATGAAGCTATTGAGGAAGATGCCAATGTATTGTCTCGTATCACAGATGTTGTGCATGCTTTGTTCAAGGTATTTTAATAATTCTTTTTTATATTTCTTTTATAAAATAATCATAAAAATAATCAGTGAAAAGTTCTTTAGGAATTTCGACAAGGCTTTGTTCCATACTTTGAGCAACTCGAGCCTATATTTAGACCTTGGTTATCTCAAAAAAGGCATTTCAGTGAAAGGCAATGGACCATTTGCATGTACGATGATCTTATTGAATTTGGTGGAGAGGTTGGTACCTTTTTATTATAGAGGTGTCATCAATTCTTAAAAGGTGCGCCAGTTGTAATAGATATTTATATATGAGAACTGTGGTATATTGTGGCATATTTTTAGGCTAGTGTTCAGTACCAACAATACTTTTATGAACCATTGATTTCTTGTATCAATGATGAATATCCGGAAGTGCGTCAGGCTGCTGCTTATGGAATTGGTCTTATGGGATTATATGGAGGTAAAGCGTATGCACAACTTTGTGCAGGTAATTTTTCGAAATTTCACCAGAAAATAATCGCAGAAAGCCAATTGGTTGGTTAAATTAGTTGATCGAGTTGTCATACAATATATTTTTTATATTAAAAATTTGTTTAAAAGAATTTCTGTACATATTTCAGTGCTTTTTATTCAGACAAATCCGGCAAATTTTTTATGAGCGGATGCTTTTATGCCTTTTGGATTTTTTTCGCTTTTAAATAATTTTATTTTTTTATCTTTCTAGGCGCTTTGCAGCCTATCGCTAATATGATATCTGATCAGGCGGCTCGTTCTACAACAGATGCACTTTTGGCTACAGAAAATGCAATAAGTGCAGTTGCAAAAATCCTTAAATTTAATTCTTCCATGATAGACGTTAATGCAGTTAGTTTTTGCTTTTTCATCATTTAGTGATTATAATTCCAATAATTATTGATCATCGTGCTGTAATAATTCATAATAAAGTTGAAAATTTCGACTTTTCGAAAATTTCTTATAAGTTTTTAAATAATTAAACGTATATTTTTACAGTTGAAATGCAATTTACTGCTGATTTCAAGTTCAGTTCATTGAAAAATTTTTATTAATGGTTTGCGCATTGATTGAACAATTAATTAGCATTTTTAAGGTTATCCCTACTTTTGTTCAATGGTTGCCTGTTTGGGAAGATACGGAGGAGTCTCCTTATACTTATGATTATTTTGCTGACCTGATCGAAAGGTTCATTTCTTAATTACTTTATCATCCATGAACTTTTAACTTCTTTCATTTTTATTGTAAACGAGATGTAATTCAGTCAATTTTTTTTTAGCAATAATCCACTTGTTCTTGGTGAAAATAATTCAAATTTACCGCGGATACTTTCGGTCATGGTCGAAGCACTTGATAAATGCGCACTAGATTCTGATGAATCAGATGAAATTGAGTTAAAACAGAGGCGAGAAACCGTAAAATCAAGATTAATTAACATTATAAAATTTATGCAGGTCTCAATTTTTATTTTAGATCTAAAATTATGACAGATTTTATTCTTTTCTCTTCTTCAGATCAGAAATAAGATTTGTAAGCTGACAAATACTTTCTTTCTTTGAATTTTGATTTTAATTCATTTTTGATAAATTTCAGACAAATGCGGAAATGTTTCAAGCCATTGTTGTGTCTGCAGCCTTAAACGAACAGCAGTTGTCGGTTTTGCAACAAGTTTTGTCATAAGTTGGAACCAAAATTCCTGTTTCCATTTATGATTTTGTTTACTATGATCTATTTAGTAAGTTTAGAAAGAAAAGAAACGAAACAAAGACCATTTATTGTTTTTCCGCTGCGATATGTTGATTTTAATCGCACACTAATATTATTATAATTTCATAAATTGTTTATGTTCATTGCGGTTTTGAGAATAGGCTTTAAAAACCAAATTTTTTATGATCGATCATCAATGTGGCTAGATGGTCGGCTGATTGGTTAATAATTAAAATTTTCTGAAATAAATTATATTGCTCAATTCTTCGAAGTTTTCATTAAACTTGTCACCCAAAATCCTTTGAAGACATGAAATTCTTTAAAATTGATTTTCGGCAACTACGGGAAAATTTTCATGCAAAATTCAGTTCAGCAATACTTCAAAAATTGCAATTACATGGAAAATTTATTGCCCATCAAAAATATTCTAATTTGCAAGAGTTTAATATCTTTCAAAATAGTTTAATTTAAATAAATTGACAAAATTCTTTTCGTCTCCAATAGCCATGTATCCACTATTCGGTGAAAAGTCAACCGTTGTAGGCTTTCCAATATGGTTGTTGAAAGATGGGAAGTTCGAAAATACCTTTAAACTTCGCACATGTGCCAATCGAATAGCGTTTTCCTAAAATAAGTTCTGTCTTTGCGACTTCTCTATGATTTTATTTTTGCGATACGTTATGTTGTAATTTTTATTTTTTCATTTGCCACAATATGATTGCGGCTTTCGAAAAATAACAGACCTTTATATTCGAAGAAAATGCTAATATTTGAGAATCGTTGTTGAAAGTGAGATGTTTAATACTTGTGGTCAATTGATTAAAAGTTCGAACGGGTCTGGGCGCTTGGTTACAATGAATTTGGGACATATCATATATATTAACGATACCTGAGTTTGACCTAAAAAAAATATTAATTATTCATCAGAATAAATGATCAACGAAACAAAATTGAGGTTGAACTGTTAGATCAAAAAAAAGAAATGAATAGATAGAACTGAAAATTTTGGTTATACAAAAAATTAATAAAATTATAAATAAATTTAATTTTTAATTTTATGCCACATAAGATCAAAATTAAGATCATAAGAACTAGAAACTCTGGAAAATACCCGCATGCGATGTACTGATTATTTCTGCTTATTCTCATTGTTGTGCTGCGGATCACACCTTCATCCATAAATGATTTCAGCCTTCCGGCCTTCCGGATATCCCAAAAAAGAACTTCACCATTCTCTACAGGAAAAAGACAACAAATACATTAACTTTTTTATTGCTAAAGCAAGAATCTGAATATAGCTAATTATTTCAACAATACCTGTCATCGCATAAACGATATTCGACGATGATGATAAAAATTGCGTTGAGATGACGTATCGTGGAGCCACTGAATATGCTATATATTCCATGGACTGAAAACGAAAATACATGATCATACGACTTCTATTACTACTTTTAAAACCCAGAAAACAAATACCAATGTATTTAAATTTCAAAAAACTCACCGAAACTGTAATAATATGAATTTCATTCCTCGTAACGACCGACATATATCTTCCATCATCAGAAAGTGCAAAATTCCCCGCATTCATTTTTGTTACGCCTGGAAATATTTTAAAAATATATGAGAAACCAACTAAAATCCATTGAAATTTCATCAGAAACATTGAAAATTCAAAAAAAATTTAATTTTCATTTCAACAAAGCTAATACATGTAATCCATTTAATATCACCAAATATTAATAGAAAAAGTGAACTGAAAATAACAATTTGAGCAGAATCAAAATATTATCGGTTTGATTCCACTTTAGAAAATGAACAATGGACGATTATCTGATTATCTTATTCATAAAATCAGAAAATAGGTAAATAAAAAAAGATCTCAAGATGATGAAAAAAAGAAAAAGAAGCAAGAAGCAAAATGTGGAAATACAATGAAGAAAAACGTGAAAATCCTTAATGATAGAACAAATTATTAAAATGGCACAATAAGGAAAAAATAAAAAAAAAAATAAATAGGAACGGTTAATAATACTATTCTATTTTATTCCAGAGAATATTACCGAGAAGTACTAAAAACAAAAATTAGAAAAATTAGAAATAACCTAATTCAAAAACATTGATTTAAAGAATATTGTTGATGATAAATAACCTTTGGGCAACCTTAATTGCAACACTTTACCATCCAAAAGATTATAGCTGAACATATATTCCTGCAATTTCTATACAATATTTTCCAGCAAAATCAAATCAAATTGACATTGTTAATTCCGATATTTCAATTAAAAAACACTTTCGTTAATTATGTCAATGTCACCTTTTAATTAAAAAATTATTTTTAAATTATATTAGCAAAGAAATCGAACCTGTTTTCTCGAACCAGCTATAATCTTCAACCCATCAGACGAAAACGCAGCTTTAGTCACAGGGAAATTTTTGAAGCAAATATCTTGAAGAAAAGATTCTTTTGATTTTGGTAAACCAACCTTTAAAATTATGAAAACCATTTTTAATTGAGAAAATTATCAGAATACTAATGAAAACAAAAAAGAAATTTTCAAAATATAAAAGTCTGAAAAAAATTCACTTCGAATAATGAAATAATTCCATTTTCACCAGCGATCATCAAAACAGGTCGCTCTGGGTGGAACTGAACAGCTCTTATTGCAAGCTAAAGTATTTGTTAAATTATAAACTTTAGTCCAAATAGTTTGCGATATTTCAATATATTTAACGTCGACAAAACGAAATATGTAAATAATTTCACCAAAAAACATCTCAAAATCGTTTCAAAATAAAAAAAGTTTATCCAGAAACATGAAATGCTTACTTTGCCAAATCGATGACCTTGTGTAATATTGTTTAAACATGTCACACTGATCACTCCTTTAGGCAGAAGCTTGCTTTTATCTATATATTTCCCTGCAGATTGCGTCAGATCTGCAACGGCATTGTCAATGTCTTCCTCATCGGAGACATCGCCAGTACTTTCTTTTTTCGAATCTAAAAGACATCTATAAGCTGATTTTTTCAAGTAAAAAAGATAAAAAAAACGTCAGAAATTACGTCTCGGAAGTTTCATTGCCCATTTTGGATTCCCAATCTTTTTTGAACGTTGAAATTCTTCTCGTATACGCTTTAAATATTCCTTAAAAAAAAGAGTTCTGAAGAGAAAAAAAGTTTTTCTGCTTCTGTGAATAGAAAACTGCTAAGAAAAAAATCACTTCTAAAATTATTAGATCATTTAGAAATGAATGAAAATTATATTTGTTTTAATAATTTCTTTAAATTCTTTCAATATTATTTTTAAACTTATTTCATGATTTTTCTTCTATATAATCGGTTGATTTTTAATGCATTTTAGGCTTTTGAATTGATACTAATTTCGCTAAATTTTTAATAATTTAAAAATTAAAAATTTCGGCCGCAGTGCCAACAACCGATTCAAACTCAAAACATCAATGAAATTTTGGGCGAAGGAAATTAATGAATATACAAAATAATTTCGAAAATTCCGTCGTGAAGAATTCAGCCATAAAGACAAGAAAGTTCGTGGGCATCCCTCTGTTGCTGACGACGACGGTGGAAAAGAAATCCATGTACAACTGTGAAGAAATTGCATGAGAGGTATTTGCATGAGTGCAGGAGAGTCTAGACGTAAATATTAGAGCATCTGAGCATTTGAGCATAAGTGGAAAGTCGAAAAAGTTAGCAAAGGAGTATCACATAATCTGAATAAAAATCAAAAAAAACTGCCGTTATGAAGCCTCTGCATCAAAAACACTCACCTCTTGGTCGCATTGTGCCGTGCAATGAATAGTGGACAAGACAACTGATGACGTTCAACATTGATGAGATAAAACTCCTAAACACTTCCTAGAGCTGAATTTGCACCAAAAAGAGGTTACCAACACTACAGAAGTTGAATGAATTATGTTCTATCCCACACAATCTAATCAGCTCTTGCAAACAAGCCATGCCTTCGAAGGATTCGTCACCTCTAGAACTTCTGCATTCTATAGGAATGGAACTGGAATCGGAACGAAATTTGTATTTTGTTGGAAAAAAGTGAATTCTAATGGCTTTCATTATTTCAGTTAAAAAATTTTGTTTTGAAATGAGATTAGAATGTGATTTCAATCTTTAGAAATAATGGCTGAAAACCTGTTTCTGAACCTTGTGAAATCTACTTCTTATTTCAAACAAGATAAAAACCACTGGCCACTGTTAAAAATATATACATAAAAATATATAAAAATAGAAGGAGCAAAAAAAAACCTAAAAATTATAATTTATAATGGTTAAAGTATTGGTACTTTGGTTGTTATATAATGATTCTCAGCATCATTCGATCGTCTTAAGTGGGAATGTTTCAATGTGTTTCGCAATAACACAACTTCGTTTTCATTTTCGTCGTCGTCATCATACCAAGCTGGTTGCCGGAAATTTGTTTCCTGCAAATTCGCCTTCACCTAATGCAACTTAATAAAACTTTTGCCAACTTTTAACCAGCTATTTTTTAAGCTTTTTATCACCGCTATCTTTCCATTTACCTTTTCACTATTAAATATATATATATATATATAAATATGTAGTTAAATAAAAAGAAATAAATAATTGTATTAAAAAATATATTTATAATTCCTACGATAAAATAAGATGCAAACAAATTTAAAAACGATATAAATACAATAAAGCAAATGAAATTAAAAATGAATAAAAGATGACTGATTCGTAATGACTAAAATTATTTTTTTAAATAACAAGCTTTGTTAAAAGAAATTAAATGAATAATATGAAAATTGAGATTTTATCCAACATTATTTGATGTTGTTTCAATATCATCAAACGAATCACTATCACCCGAATCTTCATCACTTATCAAATCATTAACGCCAGTAGATGGACCAAAAAGTTTTTTGGCTAGCACTTCCTCATCATTGAAATTTTCAACAGCCGCTCTTTTGGTCCTTTTTTGCTTTTCCATATCGCAGTTTTAAACCAAATTAATCTGAATTTACTAGTAATATAATAAAAATGTTCCGATTATGCGGATAGTATCTCTCAGTTATTTTTTACTGTTCTACTGTTCATTTCCATAATTTATGAATAACATTTTTTCAAGCCATTTATACCATTCTAACCTCCTAGAATCGGTTGTAGAATTTTATATACCAATTATTAAGCAACTAACCATATTATATAACTTCGGTAAGCACGTGCATTTGAAGATATCTCTTCGTGCATTATAAATTATAAATTATAAAATTGCAACAGTTGAAATGAAGAAAAGTGGAGCGAGAAAGCACAACAAGAATTGGAAAATAATAAGAAAAAAAAAGGAATTCGTGAGATACCACTACTTAGGGTTCGAAGAGATATCTTCAAATAGGATACACCAGAGTTCCAAGTTATTAGGAATAACGTAAGTGATGATGAAAATAAATGATGTAAAAAAGGGCAAATATAAATAAATACGGATTTCTTCTGAGTAATACATCCAGCTCGATTTTTTATTTCTTTTTTTCTCACTTAATTTAATTTTTTCAAATTTTCTAACAAATTTTCCATTTCAAAGTGCCTTTAAGGTGAAAAGGTTTGACTTTCTTGACATTCCTCCAACGCATGATAATCCTAGCCCGGTGGTACATGAGATAAGTATATAATTCAGGCGTAAAGTGATCGCAAAGTTTGTAAATAAAATGTGCTCACAATTAAAATGTGAGCAACTGCTTTAAACCTGTTAAAGATAATCGACTATATATTAATCAGTCGCTGTTGGGAGAGTACTAAACAGGTGTTCTTATCGCGGCGCAGAAACGTGGTAACTTCATGAATCTGATAATATTATGGTCCGAGCCAAGATCGGCATAAAATTAACGACTCGCAACAAACAGTGTTTTTTCTTCCAACTATCTTAAACTGAATTATTCGACGACAATGATGCATTTCAAACCGAATTATTGAAGCACCTCAATGATATAGATATTTTCGACATCTCTGGAAACACAGAAGAATATTAGCCCAATTACAGACTCGAAAAATCAACCACTTCCACACCAGGATATATAATAGCAGGAAATGCGCTAATTGAACATTGGAAGTAACTGTCCAATTGTCCGAAAACGCTGCTAAAACACGAATGTCAGGAGATCTTTAGTAACGGATGCTTCGAAGAATTACAACGAAAGTTACAAGGTGGGACAAAAATTACCAATGAAATGATATGGTCTTAGAAATAGAGACGATGGTTCCATCATGCAATAACTATTCCGCCTTCTTCAAAAGTAACTACAATTTAGGGAACAGCCAGCGAAGTGATATAGGACAGTAATGGTATGCCTGTTAAGGCCATTAAGGATCACCTCATAAGATGGAAAGAATTCCTTAAAACCAAGCTTAACCATGATACGCCATCTGTTATTTCAGGTATAGCTGATTCGCTCGCCGAGCCATACGTTTGCAAATTAGAATCGCGAAGAAATGATCTCCATAAGCTTAAGGCCAATAAAATTCGGAGAAAAAATGGTAATGCACACCCTGGTATGGAAAAAAGAAATAAATGATTGGAGCAAAGTAATTTTGCTCCCATTCTGCTTCCTAAAATAGGTGATAGGACATGCTGTGACAATCAGCCTATTAAACGTCCCGAATGTCGGGCTCATAATCATTATAAAAAACGGAAGTCTTTTCGTCCTATATATAAGAAGCGGATAAAATAACTAAATAACTATTTTTATCATTTCATCAAATTTGAAGAAATACCTGACTTTGAATTACTGGATCCACTCTATTACCAAATGAACAAACAAAAAAAGAAATTGCAATCCTGATAACAATAGCTAGAAATGCATTCTTCCTGTCGACGAGGCCTTTGAGGAACCGTCGCGAAATCATCATGAAAATGAAAATCCATGCTTATATAGCTACAGATCGTTCGATCTTGCTATATGGTTGCGAGATATGGCCAGTGAAAGTGCAGAATAATAAGTGCTATCTGCCTTCGACCACTCATATCTAACTTATTCTAAGGGTTCGTCGCGAGAGTAAAACCTTACATGACCGCACCCACCTTCGCTTAAACACCATCAACAATAACATTATTAATCATACTTTATTAACATCACAGAGCGTCGCCTTCGTTTATCAGGCACGTTCTTCATCGCTCACCACAGGATTTGACATATGATATTCGCTATTTGCAAAACTCTGAGATGGATGACTTCAGAAGCGAAGTGGACCAATCAAGATTTGGAATGATACATTCAGGAAGGATTTTGAGGGCATAGGAGGCCCAACGACATATGGATTTAGACAGTGGAAAAAAGAATGGCTTCTATTATTATCAAAGATGGTACCAAATCGTGCAGCTTGGGAACGTTTTACGCTTACAGTAGGCGGAGCCAAGTTAACCAGTAATAGTGAGAGAGCTATTAGAAGAGAAAACTAATCGAGCCTCCTTAATTAAAAAAGGTAGAAAATAGAAAAACCTGGCAAAAACTTCGACTACCATAACGACGATCTAAATTCCCTCTAACATAATGAAATAGAGCGGCAACTTTAGAACTCTCAAGCCCCAAATTTCCATCTAACATTCCGAATTGACTGGAAACATGCAATCGCTATAAGACCATTAAATAAGCTTAGAGCTTAATGTTAATCCTATTGATGTGGCCAGAGCTGCCCATGTGATAATTTGATTGTCTTCCGTCGTGCATGCTTCTGGAAGACATGGAGAACGTGTAATAGGAAACGTGAAAAGTTCGACAGCGTTTGCATTTCTTGCTGTTTTATATTTATTTTGCACCATCTCAAACTCCATTGTCTAAAAAGCACTTGAAACTTTTGCTTCAGTTTACGCAGTTTTTTATGCAAAACTTGCGAAAATACCAATCAGTTGGAACTATGGCACCATAAACTACAAATTCGAATTCTATACTTGAGCGGTCACTTGTTCTTCCGTAGCCACTAAGATATAATTATCATTCGCCCAACATATTCTTTTTCTACGTTTCTTCCGTCACTTCAGAGGCTAATTAATTTCTTTGAGATCGAAAAGGCCCTCCGTATTTCTTGATTTTTCATCTATCATGCGTTTTTCATGCGTTTTATTTGTGCCGCATTCCATGTTGAGGAATTATCTGAACCGAGAAGAAAGCTCGGCTCGTCATCTCAGTCACTGCTTTCCCACTTCGTTCATGGATTTACATGGAAATTTACACTTGTATAGGCCGTACAATCGACTAATTTTGACATTGCCGCTGACTAGTGCTTTTTAGAGGCAGACGAACTAAGCAAAGGCATTCTACAATCATGACGTTACTCAGGTCACTCAGAGCCCGCTCTAGGCAATTTGACACCTTTTGAATGCCTTTAGCGTCATAAAGAATATTATTATGTGAAACTGCAGGTAAAAGAAGACGCCTATGTCTACCAATTACGATGCGTCACCAATCGTTTCCCGTCGTCAGCTAAGCTGTCTTCGCCAACGCTCGCTTGAAGCCAGTTGATCCATATTATGAAATAATAATAATAATATAATCCATAATATTCATAATATAATCCATATTATGTTTATTTTTAAGCAAATTGTATTCGATGAATGAAAGTATTTCCTCGAAAAGTATTTCGTCGGAATTTATTAGTTTTGATTGTATAATGCAAATTATTGTAATTAATTAAGTTCACTCTTTTTTTTACGTTTTTATTTATTTATTCTGCGGAGGCAGAACAGCAAATGGCCTGAATTATCATTTGAGCATTCAGGCTATTTCAGGCAAGAATAAAAAAAACCGGCTGGTATGGGTTTTCACCAGTACTGATTTTCAGAGAGCTCTTTGGCAAAATAG